CCTCGTCGAATGCTAATGCTTAACCTTTGAGCTAGGAAAGATAAACCTGTGGTAGGGCCACGCAACAGCTTCGGCTGTTGCCCTAATGGGCAGGTCCGTCCGGGTAAGTACCACGACCTCAAAGAAGGACGGCGTGCATGGAAGTGTCATACTTCTACGTTTCTGCTTAGTGAGGCCCACTTCATTAGAAGGTGGCAAAGCATCTGAAACCCTACGAGTTTAAATGTAGCATATGGGCCATAATAGCCAATTGTAATAAAATTGGAAATCTATATCATTTACAAGGAAAATGCGAACTCTCCAGTCTTGAAAATCCCTCAACATTCACGAGCTAAATTGAAATATTGTGTTTCACTTAAAAATGGAATCTCGTCGGAAACATTGTCGCACGCTGATTTTTTTACGATTTCAAACGATGCTTTAAATGGAGCGAATCGTTTATAGACTTCAAATGGCATTAATGGATAACAAGGGACAATAAAAAGTTCGTTCGGTAACCATGGAGTGAGTAAAATGATTGAAGCGCTATTAACACCAAAGAAACAAAATTATTCCCAATAAAAACCGTAAAATAGTTTTATTTAAAAATGTGTAGTAATTTTATAATATAACTAGAATAGTAAATTAATAGTTAATCTCTGTCACTGCGTTCAGCATACATCTTTTTTTATGTGAGTTGGTAAGTTGACCTGATGGTAAAACCGCTGCCCGTGTACATTTGATACACCATGGGTTGCAGATGCGTTGTCACCTTTTGATAGAGTGGGCCTATCTCACTTACCAGACGAAACACACAAGTATAATACTCCCACATCACGCCGGGCTTCTGCGAGTTCGTGGTACTTCCCCGGAAGGACTTGTCCACTTGTGCCACAGCGTAGACTGCTGCGTGGTTGGATGAACGCTTTCCGTTCAGTAGATTTTACATTAACATCCAAACAACATCCGAAATTGACCAAACAAGTCCCGCAAAGGGCCACCTAACCTAGCCGCTCAGAAACGAGCTAACAGAGAATGGTGCAGTGACATCATTACTATATTCTTGGATCTCCTCTTTTGTATGATATTATTACCGGTGATGTAATAGTACACTAATAGAACCTTAGGTTTATCAATACGACCCGGAGAAGAAAGCTAGTCTTAGCTAGCAGGGAACAAAACAAGCGATAAAGGAGCATAGAGAATCCTTTGATCACTATTATTCATAACAAATAATTTTTACGACCCGATTGGCCTCAAAGAAGCTCGGTGTGCTCAGCAAGGCGAGACAGTACTTCACGTCGGCTCAACGCCTAAACCTTTATAAGGCGCAAATTCGGCCCCACATGGAGTACTGCTCTCACCTCTGGGCGGGCGCCCCTTGTTACCAGCTTCTTCCTTGATCCTTTGGCTATGCGTAGAGATGTTGGGTCACTCTGCATCTTCTACCGCATCTATCACGGGGAGTGTTCCGAGGAATTGTTTGGATTGATCCCAGCGGCTGAATTTCACCATTGGACATCGCGCTAAAACCAAAAATTTCATCCACACCACCTCGATGTCCAGCGTTCCACAACAGCGCGATTTTCAAGGCATTTCCTGCCTCGCACAACCACTCTGTGGGGCCAGCTGCCGCCGGCGGTCTTTCCGTACCGTTACGACCTGGGAACCTTCAAGAAGAGAGCTTACTCATTCCTAAAAGGCCGGCAACGCATTTGTAAGCTCTCGGGTGTTGCAGATGTCCATGGGCGGCGGTGATCACTTACCATCAGGTGAGCCTCCTGCTCGTTTGCTGCTTTTTCCCCATAAAAAAAAACCCAGTTTATATATATTTATAATATGTATTTATTTACAAAAGAAGTAAGTATGTTTAGCAGGAATACCATAGTCTTTCTGCTTTGTTCAGCATATTGTTTAATCCCTCTACTTCTAAATACTTAAAAGATCGGTTTGGATATCTTTCTTTATCCCATGAAAGGTCCCTTCGTTCTTCTGTCAATCTCTCCCTCCAAACTCCTGTACATTCCTTTTCCTTAATGTAATGGGTAAGATAATGTAATGGAAAACGGTGTTCCTATTTGTCGTGTGTATATTGCTCCTGAATCTTTATAGTAATTTTTTTGAAAAAAAAAATAACCAAAAAATGGATACCTACGGAGTTTCTTTCACCTGTTTCTTCTCCGTTAGAGGAACCTCATTACGAAACGGTGGTAGATTTAAAAAAATTAAATGTACATTTCTTACTTCGATGGATAAATAATTTGATTAGTTTCAATTTTTTATAGAAGTATGTAGATGGAAAGTTCTCTTTTACCATGGACTTTTATGATTTCCCATAAAATCCTAACTGGCCTATGTCAAAGGCCGGCGACTTCATAGATTTCTTGACTGTGGCTTACATTTACAAGTTCTAGCGCCTTTTAATCCCCACAGGAATAGACACAAATGATATAGTTTACAATAATTAATATTGTAAACTATAGTAGTTGTTGTATTGTAATATTGTAGTTAGTTAATATTCTAGTTAATATATTAGTTTATAACATTAAATATAGTTTAAATAGACACAATTTATACCGTCTACTTTTCGAGATTATAAAGTTCTGTACTTAGGGCCTAAAGGGTGACCGCTGTTTACTAGGAACATTAACACAATATTTGATTTCTTTAAATTTTAGCATTACTAAGTACTTAACGGCACTGGGGTTCAAACCCGCAACATAAGAGTGTGAGGGAATGTTAGATGTAGCTCATAATTTTTATTTCAATGTTAGAATTGATAAGCGAGCACACGATCCACCCGATTTCTAATGTCGTGGACATCCACAACTCCTTTCGGTAGATGCGTTACTTATGAACTTATGAAGAATTAGTCCTCGGTTACCCCACTCACGTGACGAAATGTTAAAATATTAATACTTCCATTCACGGCGGCCTTCTGTGTGGCCGTTTAATTTCCCCGGACAAGCCTGCCCATTCGCGTTGCAACTACAACAAAGTTTTACCACCTTCAAAAGATTAATGTCAGACCTCGCTAAGAAGCCAAAAGCATGACAGAACTCAATCGTTACTTTACACAAATGTTAAGAATTATCTTCTTAATGCGCTTATCTATTACTAAATGTCTTATAAAAAAGTTAACAATTTAACCGTTACTTGAAAAATGAACACTTTCGATTGGTATTTAAAAAATTATTTTAACATGAAGGGAATTATATTATTTTTAAGACCGACGCCAGAATTGCTTTATTCATAGCCTATTGTCAAAACACAAAAATAAAAAAAAAATAAAAAAACAAAATATTTAGGACACATTTGTACACAACATTTTCTAGTCCCAAACTAAGCAAAGCTTGTACTATGGGTACTAGAAAACTGATAAACATACTTAAACATACTTTTCTTTTATAAATCTATATCTGGGTGTTTCTATATGTATAATATGTAAATACATATTATACATATAGAAACACCCAGACACTAGAAAAACACTATTTTTCCAGTAGTGGGGATCGAACCCACACCCTCTGGCGCAGGAGGCAAGTACACTACCCACTACGCCATTCGGGTCGTACGGAAACGGAACCAAATGCCTTAATCTTATTATAGTTAAATGAGGTAAATGCTCCCTTGTTTTCTATTTACATAAATTATATAAGGTAATTATGTCCTAAGGAGAAGTATTAGATATTATCAAAAGTTACTTAGACTTTGACTAGATAAATTAGACATTCTTGTTATTAATTCTTGTATTTCTGTTTTTCACGAACGGGAAGGTCCGTCCGAGGAAGTACCACGACGTCACAAAAGACCAGCGTGAAGTAGGGGCTAGGGCCCAATTTATTAGGAGGTGGCAACGCATCTGCAACCCTACGGGTGTTGCAAATGTCAATGGACGGCGGTTAACGCTTAACATTAGGTGAACCGCCAGTTCACTTGCCACCTTCTCACATAAATACACTAAAGCTTTTCTCCTTGCAAATAAATTTATCTAATAATTTATCGCTTGAATAAATGATCTCTTCGAGTAAATTGTTTATACAATTCATAGATAATACGTCTGCTTCTCGTTTATCAATGCTAATGGCGTCTCTATTTAATACATATGAATGTACATTCAAAGCAGTTTCTTCTACGTTGTCATCTTATAAATGTCGGTTTAAACATTGTTTGAAGACTTTGATACATAAGTTTGCGTTTGTGCTACATTGGTGTTTCATTTATATGGCCGTAATTAAATAGAACGATGAAGTCTTGTTTTTAATTAAGTCTGCGAATTGCAATAGTATTGAACATGTTAATATTGTTCTCTTGTGTTCTTTTGTACTATTTAAGATAGTACAAAAATCTCATATTAATCGTAACCCACTTAAGTGGGGTAGGCACACCATGTCAACTGTATTAGTGGTATTGCCCAGGTATTTTTTACTATCAGCCGCCTTCATGACTTCAAACCTCCTTGGAAACAAACACCCAGATCCGAAACAATTAAGTGTGGCTCGCACAAACAGTTTCCCCACGTCGGTATCGTACCTACGACCCCCGACGCGGAAGCCAATACGTTCGCAACTGCGCCGCTGTGAGACTTTTGTCAATTGTGAAATTATCGATCTTATTATAAGGTAACAGTGATGGTTTCAGGCTTGACCCTTACGTTTAAACGTATATGGGGTCTTTTATTACCGTTACTATAATTTGTACACTTTAATGAATTGTCTGTTTGTATATCACCAATATTGAAAATTACGACACAATGGTATTAAAAAAATGTATGTATCATACTGATTTTAAATCTCGATTTCTGACTTTTGAGACGGACAAAATGCTTGAACTACTATTTAGCTTATGTAAAGCTAAAGCGTTAGTTCATTAAATGAATAGTGGTTTCACACAATTTTTTTTTTCATATTTTGACCATTTGCGTAAGTCACAACTAAAAACTATTCCCTGCCATTGGCAATTCTGTTCGATTTTATGCCGAGAATTAAAAATTGTAATTTGAAAAAGGAACGTCTACTCACACACAGAACGTTGTCAAAAAGTTAAACAACAAGCACACACTCGCGGCGCGGAACACTGTCGGACGGGATAATGGCGCGGGATGCGGACACGCGTCGCGGCGTCCCGTGGATAACTGACACCCGCGCGTTACGCTCGGGAGCGTCTGCCTGTACGGCCAAGCAGTAAAGTCGAGTTCCTTTTTCAAATCGTACACCTTTTTTTTTTCAACATATTTAGAAAGACTCCGAGTGAGTTCCTTATTTGAAAAAAATCGAACACCTTTTTTTTCTACATATTGGGATTTGTGACACGTGTTTGGGATTTCTCGTCCATTCTTCAATGTACTAATTCACGTGGTTAATGCCTTGCCGTGAGATGAAGTTTTACACTATCGCGTTTCGTCTGGTGAATGAGGTAACTGGGCTTTACAAGTTTGTCAACAAATGCGTTGACCAACCCTCAAGTGTTGTAGATGTGGATCACTTAATCCTGCTCAATTGATAACTCTTATGAAAACTAAAAAATGAGTTCTTACGTTTAACACTTTTTCACGTAAACAATGAAAAAACTTCCATATCAGTGAAAAGCAATAAATGATAATTTAATATACAAAGAAAATTCTTTGGTTATCAAGAAGACAAAGAATGTAATACTTTCCCACAGCTGATTAAATATTTTATACGCAACGTTGATTTATTTACGAAGCCTAGAAAATCGCGCTACTCTGCTGACTGTACCGCCGACCTTTTAACGTCTGTCAAAACTGTGCACAACTGGCCATTCATTATTATGTTAAAGTTTATCGCTTTCAGTAAACATGTCTTAATTACGACCCTCTGGAGTCGATACGCTCTCGCTGTTTACATGGAAACCGCTAATTGCTCCAATTCTATTGTTTATTATAATTAGAACCGTTCTCCTTCCGATATTCCTGTGCCGATTTTTAATAGGGAATAAAGAAATTCGCCCATTCAATCAAATTACAGTGTAGTATATAACTGACGAAAGCCTCGTAAAACTGTGAAGATAGATTAAATCTGTCCCGTGACCGTAGATTCCGTCGTTCTTGAAAATACTCCAGGACATAAAATTTAAGTCTAATAATAAAATTCGTAAGAATTTTGATGACATTTTTTTTTAATTTTTGCAAAGTTAAGAATTGAACGATGATAAATTATTGAGTGACTTAGTTTTCAATGTTATTTTAACTTAATCTCTGAAATGCAGAAAACGAAATTAAAACTACCTACGTGTAGTTACTACAACAGATATTTTCTTACGCAAAACTTTCGAAGGTAAATGTAAAAAATTTCCTAAGGGATTATACTAAAGGGAGCCTTTTTCCGGATTCCTCGTGATGAAAATGATTACCCTGAATATTAACGTCATAAAGTATGGTTTGCATTGAGTTCTATTACAATATCCTTTTATATAAAATTTACAAACAAAACGGAGTTACTTTACGTGGATCTTTGTTATCATACACATTGTGATATTACACTTACATTAATATGTAACATTAGTATATGGCTTGGGATGGTTTTAATTTTTTTCGCTAAAAATTTAATCTATGTTATTTTACATTTTTTCACATTTATAAGTAAAAAATTTTCTAGTTTTGGCTTGTCGGATCAGCTATTTCCTCAGCCATGAAGGTGCATGGTATGTTTTTCTATGAAATCGTCATAGAAAAACATACCATGCATTGCATGTACATTTCAGTTATACGTTATTATCAGCCATCGAAGTTTTAACGCGCGTCACTTCCATTTATTCTTACACTTTTTCATCATCATCATGACAGAACTTACGTACTCAAATAAAAAACCAAATACAAATAAAATGAAATAATAACTTATTAATCTGGCTTTAAACGACGCGCGTTCAATAATGAGTACTGTAACGGTGATAGGCGCAAACCCAAAGGAAACCACGCACCCTCGTCAGCAGAGATCAGGCGGGACTATTTCAGAATTATGCGATCATTTTTACTAAGAGTGTATTTTTAATTATTTCATCCTGAAAGAAGCGCAATAAATGAGTATTAATAATTGTAATAATGCTCATGTTGGGTGTTCACCTAAAGCAAACTCGAATAACCCGAGTTTTTTTTCTTTCGGTTTTCTATAGAAATAAGTTTAAAAAAGTATATTACATAAGTGAATATTCAACTATAAGCGAACACAATTATGTGAAATAGGAAAGGATAAAAAAAAGCATAGGAAAAAAAATCTACGATGAAAATAATAACAATGAATACAGTTAGTAACTTAAAAAAATAAACAAAACTATAAAAATTAAATATTAAAAAAAGGAAAATAAAATAAATTAATATCAACACATTTCATGACTTAGAATAGATAAACTTTTTAATATTACAGTGGACGTTAAATATGTCAAGCTCTGGACATATGGCATATATGTCCAGAGCATATATGTATATGTATATTGAGTAAGTACATTAGAGCTATTATAGATTACATACATAGAGCGCCAACAGTGATGATTTACCTCGTATTTTTTCTAAGAAGAAATATAAACAACCGATATATGAGAAATAATCATTTTGAACATGGTACATCAAGTAATGAGGTAGTGTGAAAAGTGGAAAACACGAACAAGTGGAAGCGTTTGTCCGTTGTTCGTTTTAATATGAAACAAAATGTTAAATTAAACAAACTTTTAAACGCGTTAGCGGTGTAAAACCCATCATTTATGAAGAGCGTTTTCGGACGCAATGAGCAATTACAAGGGAACGGTCTTCCTCAATGGCTTTTCATCGGTGCTTCGCTCTCCTTATCGCTGCGCTAAATTATCTCCTTTCATCATTAGCAGCAGTAAAATGTATCTAAAAGAGAACATATATCGAGTACATTAAAATAAAAAACTAAAATAGTGTACATCCGTAAAATATACGTTAACGTTTGTCCGGAAATATTTGATGTGACTATTTCGCAGCTATCTGGTCAGATAGCTATGGATGATACGGAATGACTTTGACATATGCTACTACAAATCAAGCTGTAAGAGAAATATGATTTCGCTGCTTATGCCGGGGTACTTGTTGTAAATACATACTAGCTAGGCATGTATAGATGCGGATATAGGTTGTGACCCCTTCAAAACAGTGCATATTTCTTTTGAAAGGTGTAACTTGGTTCCTTACTTAAATCTTATATTTCCTGGCACGAACTGTTCATAACAATGTGTTAATATTCAGTTATCGTAGGAAACTCTTTATTTTAATTCAGATATTTTCGACAAACCAAATGCATATCTCGCCCTGCAATTATTGTCACCTTTAACGAAACCACCAGCGCTTCTCTGTCTTCCAAATTAGTACAAACACTCAACAAGATATTTCCTTTAAGTTCACAGTATTTTTACCGCTCATATCTCCTTTCTCCTAAGTTCTCAGTATTAGCACTAAGTGACTTAATGAAGTATTCATTGTTGTAACTATAGCAACACTAAATGTTATTGTATCTCTTCTCTTCCGCTCCGGCGATCCTGGGCCAAATACACGCTTGTAACTTGTCCTGTTATTTTTATTAATTACTCCGCTCCAAGAACACCAGCACCCATCAAAACATAGGCACTCCAATAGCTCTACACTCATAACTTCGTCTTTCTCCTGCCCTTATTCCACCAAGGTGGGTTTGGGACATTTAAGTTTGGCATGCCGTATGTGAATATGGCAGTGAATCCTACAGGCTAGGTTTGCCACCACCGGCCGCCTGCCTAACGTCAACGATTGATTCAGAACAAGCCGCGCCGAAACCAATGGCCTACCAACTGCGTCACCGAGTCATGTTTAATGCTTATTCATTACTAGCTGCTGCCCGCGACTACGTCTGCGTAGAATAGGCTTAAGGCGTAACATTCAGACAGAAAAACAGATATACATAATATATGTATAATTATAGCCTATGTCGTATTCTGATGTATAAGCTATATTATTGCAAAGTTTCATTAAAATCCATTCAGTAGTATTTGTGTGAAAGAGGAACAAACATCCATCCATACATACAGACTTTCATAGTAAATGACGATGAAAGAGGATAGTCCCTTACCAACAACAGTTGTTAAACTTAAAAGGGCAATCTTCTGCGAGCTTGCCATACAATTTAACATAAATTCATTTTACAATTGTGCACGATATAAAACTATTTACGGCGCTTTAGGTGAGTGTACGTTTTTTTCCGAGGCGATATTACAATAAGCCGTCTTTAACGACCTTTCGTGGGGCTGCCTTATCTGCTTTCCAGCACTCCACCTTTCCGCGTCAGTTCCTCATAAAAACTCGACCCTCGTCATCGTGCGGCGGAGGTGATGATTAGGCAGTAGCGTGTTTAAGAATTTTATCAATTCTCTGCAGCGGTTCGGTTGCCCGTCTTGGAGCTGCGACCCAGATTTTTAATTTAATTTTAATAGGATTAGTCTCACATTATGATCAGAGAGCAGTAACGGATCAGTGTCCAAAAGCTCGCTTTTGATTCATTATACTCGAACCTGAGTTCAAATCGTGCCGATAGAATTGGTGATTGTTACCAATGAAATTGTTGATTCTCAACAGAGTTGACTTATTATGTGCTCAGCGGTAAAGGAAGAAACATCGCGAGGGAGCCTGCATATTTTCGAAGTAGTTAGTGGGTAGGACCGCTCAACAGCTTCGGCTGTTGCACGAATGGGCAGGTCCGTCCGGGTAAGTACCGCGACCTCAGAAGACCGGCGATGGACTTCTGTAGCCCGTACCTGGTAGCAATCATATACGGCAGCTGAAGCTTCTAAGTGATCCCACACCAAAGTCAGCTTTAACCAGTTGCATAATACGACTATCGGACTCCTTTTAAAAATCACTTTTTTACATAATTACCCTATTAACGGGTTTGAGCTCACGGCTTAGGATGATCGGTAAAACGTAGGTACTATTAGTTACCTGTGGCTGTTGTTATTTACGAATTTAATTCTAATGAATGTTTTAATCTGCAACGCTATTATTACCCAACTAGAAAATATTTGGGTTTGGAATTCAATTTTAAATGAAGTTAAGTAAATAAAAATTCTGTAAGTAATTTCCCGCGTCTGTATACGGTCAAGGATAGTAAGTGCTTTTAAAAAAAAATTCAAATTAGCGACCCGACCCGGCTTCGCACGGGTGCAATGTATTATACATATAAATCTTCCTCTTAAATCGCTCTATCTAGTAAAAAAAAAACCGCGTCAAGATCCGTTTTGTAATTTTAAAGATTTAAGCATAAATGGTGACAGACAGACAGCGGAACGGCTTTGTTTTATACTATGTTTTCATTGTGGACTTGAAAAGCAGCCTGGGGCTTATTAGAAATTATAGGCTTCATAAGAGTTAGATAATTTTGGGTTCCGTTCCCTAATCATGGTGAAATTCAAGCAAAACCAATTAATATCAAGAGAAAATATTGTGGGAAATTTGTGAGAAAATATAAAAGTGAGAATAAATTATTCACTTTTAATAACAGCATTTTTGATTAAAATGCTGCTTTTACCATACCACTTTTTACATTAACACTTAATCTATCGTTACGGTATTAATGTAGGGGACCGAGCAGAGCCACTTTCTGTAGATTAACTTTCATATTATTCTTCTCATTTACAAATTTCTCATTCACGTAATAGTTTAAAATCAGTCCGTGACCCTTCTGTGAGACTCTGGGTTACGGTTTCTGTCCCTTTTCGTAGAAAATACTTCCTTTGTTATCGGGAATGTAAAAATCCCCTTTTCACAATTGTATTAAGTGCAAAAGTTCCGAGTGGGGTACTCTTACTTTGAAGAGCATTACAAATACTTTATCTAGATTTAAAAGGATTTACAGCACCTTTTATTACAGTGGTCGATGTATAGTGTATGTGAATATGTATATATATATATATATATATATATATATATATATATATATATATTTACATATTTGAACGCAGTAACCATTAATCTAAAAAGGAAAGCAAAATTCAGATTAGAAAAAAAATTGGATTGTGCTGCATATTTATTGACAAATGTTATATATAAGGTATAATATAATGTATATAGATACATGTCATATATACGAGTATGTAAATACATATATTTGAACGCGGTAACCACTAAAGTTAAAAAAAAAACTTTTTGGATTTTATAGCATATTTGTTGAGAAATTAACATTAATTACAAACGATTTATTTAACATCACGCTACGATATTAAACAGCTGATCTGTCGGGGTTTTGGGCACTTTAACGTGCACTGGACCAAACCGTTTCATAGGCCCTAGGAAAAAATAATTACTACTGTGATTTCGTAGTAGCACTGCGGCTACATTTAATAGATCGAGTTCCTTCTATACTTTGTTAGTTAGGTGTAGTTTCACAAGATTTCGACTCAACAATACACAAGGTTTGGGCAAGGCCCTATTCGTGTTCGTCAGCCGTTGCTATCTGAATGTAATGAAATTACTAAAAGGTTTTTTTTATTTTCAACATCTATGGGAAAAGCAAACGGATTCATTTTACACTAGCGGTTGCAATGTATTATACATATAAACCTTCCTCTTGAAACACTCTATCCAGTTAAAAAAATCGCATCAAGATCCGTTGCGTAGTTTTAAAGATCTAAGTATACGAAGGAACAGACAGACACCGAGACGACTCTGTTTTATACTATGTCATCATCATCATTTCAGCCTTTAAGCGTCCACTGCTGAAC